GAACATGAGGATTATATTTATTTGGTTTAGGAATAATGCACAAAACCTGCAAATGCCAGAAAATTCTGACAGTTTGTCAGTACAGTTTAAGTGGCAGCCCGTAAATGTAGGCCTGTTTTTGGAAAATTGGCCTTTGCTGTGAATATTTCTGTATTTGAAATCTGTATTCTATTAGGAGGGTATGATTGAAATAGATTAAAAATATTTGTTAGTGTGATGAAAGGTTGAACAGGACACACAATTTCCTCTTCATTATTTTACAGAGAAATTTTCAAAAGAGATATAACTTTTTCTCCCTTGAACTGAAGAGCTTTTCCTGCTGTTAGCTGGGAATAAGTTGTTTGAATTTTGTACCTCAACCAACAATAATAAAATTAAAGCAAAGCCTTATTATGGAATTTGACGTTTACATTTTCATGGGTAGTGGTCCTAATCAGTCCCTGAATTTATTATCAAGACAATAAATAACTTATGACACTACTGTTATAGAGTACTAACTGAGGATTCAGAGGATGCCTTCCAGTTGTTTTTATGCCCATTCTTTAGTCCCAATACTCCTTTTCCAGGTGTGAATATTATTAGGTTGCCCACCACAATGAAATTCCACTCTTTTCTGAAACTCCTGATATCAGTGTCTGGGAACTGGAAGTCCAACTTCTGTTTCTTAACAGAAGTGCCAAACATCTTCCTACTGCTCGGCCTTGGGGACAGAACAAAAGGAAGAATCTGTGCATTCTATTTCTTAAAAGTAAACTTTAATTGAGATAAAATTTGTGAAGTTTAGTTTTTCCACACAGCTCTTCCTGTCTTAAGAAAGATAACAGTGTCTTTGTATTTGGGAAAAGGTATATGGGATAAGGCAGAGGAAAAAGGTTCAATGGGCTTTAGGAAAACAACTCATGGAAATCAAGACAAAAATGTAGTCATACTGGAAAAAAATTTATTCATTGGGAAGGTGTATCTTAGTGAGAAGAGCAACTGGTAATGAAACATTTCAACCAGCTCCACTGCAAACCACGTATTTTCAACTTGACAAAAATCTCTTTTCACTTCCTTAATGTAATAGAAGTAAAGAACCACTTGTGCCAGGAAGAAAAATAATTTGAACAGGAAGGATTTTCAGAGAAGTAAGAGACAGGTTTGGGAATACAGTCCTGTAAGGTCTCATCACATCTCCCATGTCCTCACGTGCCGAGTGGATGGATCTGCCAGACCTGCACCACACGGGTCCTCCTGGGAGCACTGCAGAGGGAGCACATTGCCTTCACACCTGCATTTAGCTACACTTTTTATTGCACTTCTTTTGAGACAATTTGCATAGTAATTTTTCTAGTCACCTCAAATATATCAGCTTAGCACAGCAGAGCAAACCTGTGCCCATTCTCTCGATTTCTTTGCTTCTCTACCATTCTGTCATGTATCCATATGTGCTTTCCAATTATACATGGAGTGTAGATACACTTTCCAGTTTGATAAATATGAATCTCAAAGGTGAGATTACAGAAGTGTATCTGTTTTTTTTTTTTTTTCTCTAATGGTTTCGAATATGCGATACTTATCTGAAATGCAAGCTCACATTCTGGTGAAACCATCTTTGTAAAAGGAAATTTTCTGTGAATCACAGCCCTCTTTGGCCATTCTTTATATTACAGGACTAGCAGAACTGTTTAACAAAAGTGAAAAAAATCAAAATATGCCAACCTTTTCCCCTCAGTAGGTTTCCATGGTACCATGCTCATGTAATACACAGTGACATGTGGCCCTGGAGGAACCTGCAGTCTTCCTGGACTGACACCAAAAGTCTACAGTTCAGTTAATTCAATAATACACAATGTAACCAATACAGAATGACTTAAATTTTATTTTGGGTTTTTTTTTTTTTCCTCCACTATGAAAATACTCTGACACTCATATCACTGATTTATGTGATGACGTTCAGGAATTCAGTGCTAATTTATACTGTTGTATTTCCTGGATTGCTTAGGACCACAGACAGGTGAAATACACTATTTCTGTGTTTGTTTATACATCAATTCAGCTCTTGTTTTGTTACACTTGATGCAACTTGGGCAGCTACACTTTTTTAAATTTCCCTTGTGCAAATAATTATGAAACATTTATTTATGACCCTTTAGCAGTGGCCAAGAGGCATGTCTAACTTTTCTTTCTTAATGGGATTTTTCACAGAAATGGGATTTTACTTTCTGAGATTCAAGGATAAGGAATGACTGTTTATCTCACAGGCTATTAATGGGGCCTGGATAGAATGGGTGGATGGAAGATTGAGCAAATCCCAAGGCATGAATCAGTCCTTCACAAACAGTGCTCTTTGCAGAGCTAGATAAGTGGATGGTATAGGTAGCTAAGTATGAAAATTAGTACCAAGCTAGAAACAGAATAAATTGCAGTATTACTTAGGTGTCAGCAATGTGCAACCATTGAGCAAGACAAGGAAATCCAGAAAGGACAGTTCTACTGACACAAAAAAGTAAAGATAGAAATGAAACCCTGAATGGGAGATGAACACACAGACAAAGTGGCAATAAACAGACTGAACACAAGATGAACAGCCAGAGAAAGAAAGAAAGAAATAAAACCAAAATAAGTGCCAACAAGCAAGACAGATGCAAAACACTCCAAGCAGCTGTTAAAAAAAAGAAAAAAAAAGAAAGAAAAGAAAAAGCAAAAAAACATGCAAATATTACATGGGAAGAAATTCCCACTGCATGAAATTTCAGGGCTATGTCCTAGAATGCCCTAATTTCTGTGAATTCCATTGGAGAATTTTGTTTATGTAGCCCGTATAGGTGGACACTGGGTGGTGGAGTCTTTGGGCTATCATCAGCTTCCTTTCTTTTGTTTATTTTCTTAAAGGAGGAAGGAGCAAGGGTTTTTTTTCCTGAGGTGTTGTGGGCATATTCACTGTTGTGTATGTTGCAGATGCCCACAAAGTGAAGCATTTGTGATCCTGCACCCAGCCATGCCTTAGGGACTCGTATTTGCAAATTCTGCACAGTGGAAAATTCAGCTTTCAGTGGAAACACTATTGTTCACAGGCTTCTGAAAATACTTGTATGTCTCATAAAATATTTTTAGTAAATTAATTTTGAAACATTCTGCTTTAGTTTGGTTTTCTTCTCTTTAGTTAATCCATGTTATTAAAGTTTCAGTGCTGGTTAATTTTTTCTTCCTGGACTTCTTGGGCTATAGTGGTCATTATGGAAGAAATAAAAATATTTTAAAATCAAGTGTTAAAATAGCTTTTTTTTTTTTTTTTTTTTTTTGTAGTAGTAGTAGTAGTAGTAGAGAAAACCAAACATTTCAAAAATGTAGTTTTGGAGAATTCTTATACTTCAATTTACAACCAGTTTTTTTTAATTTTCTCTACACTTACATAAAAATAGTTGTACTATTTTGTGTCGGAAGAGTTGAGCTTTTCATCAATGTGGATAGCATTCATCTCTGCTAGAATGTGTATTCCATTTGCCTAGGGATCCTATTTAGAAGAGCAGTGATATCTGTAAACATTAGGTGAAGCCCCCTGCTCTCCTGGTACCAAAGACTGAGGTGAAAGTATAGTCAAAACCTGGATTCAAGCCCATTTTGAATTCCAGAGTTGCTCTGTAAGCCACACTTCTTTTGGGACAGGAGGCAGAATAGATAGAATCCACAGAGAATGGTCCCTACCAGAACACAGGTGAGAAAAAAATCATGGGACAATTTATTGTGATGGAAGAAGAGCTGGAAATGCTGAAGTTCTTTGTCCCAGCAGGTTATCTTGTGATCATGCTGCACAGAAACAAGCTTGAAAATGAAAGACTGATCAGGATGTGAAAGACTTGTTTAGAAAAGAATGTCCACATGGGAGTTGAATGGATTCTAGATATTTTAGATAATTTCTGTCATCTCTATATGAAACTCATTTCAGTTGCTTTGTTGGTCATTCTGGTATATAGGGATTCTTTGTACATAATAAGAAAAGAAAATATTCTTTAGTAGTTTGAGTCATGAGAGACATGAGCTCGATGACCTCTGCCTTGTATGATGTTGGAGCCACTCGTGGAAGGGAGGGCACTGGCATGATAAACAGCATTATCCCTCCTCTCAGGATCTGCTTCTTATTGGCCTCTTCCCCTGTGTGACTCAAACCCAGCTTCTTGCTAAACAAAGGTTGATTTGTCATGGTCCTCCTCTGGTGCTCACAGCCTCTGCCTGGGCTGTACCTCTCACACATCAGCAAAGCACTCCTCCTTTTGCAGTGCTCCATTCTGAGTCATTAAACATTACATTTCGGTTTCTCACATGTGTGGATGTTTTGTCTCTAAGATAAGGCACAGTTGCACTGTACATAAATAATCAAACTTATTGGAACACACTTTGTGTTAGGAAAAAAAAATTGATTTTTTTTTTACAGTTTTAAGATTTAAGAAAACCATGTTGGTTTCCTTAATCAACATGTGGTGAGGAAATGGCATAGTATTTAACAATCCTGACAAGTTAATGGATCAACATCTTTGTACAAAAATTTCAGGGAAAGTAAATGCACTTGCAGCCTAAGAGCACACTATATTCAGTAAAATTGTAGATTATTCATACTTATTATGGAAGCTAAGTCATAAATATTAAGTGAGCAAAAATATTCTAGGGACTTCTTGAAATTTAAGCAATGCAGAACAAATTCTGTGGTTAAATTCATGTCTGTAATTCCCGTGATCCCTAAGTCTTGACACTTGAGAGCAAATGTAGCAATTTTAAATCATATCCAGGTAATGTCTGTTGAATAGTATTTAAAATAGGAAAAAGATATTTTAAATTTAATTTTGTAAAACACAACCATTGTAATGGGCCTGTGATTTAAAGAGTGTGGAGCATGCAAGCATGACAGACAGCTTAATAAACATTACTGTGGAAGTGTTACATGGACAAAAGTGAAGGTACTTTTATGAAAATAATACACTGAGAGAATTTTCTAATATTTTGTGTTGGTTTTTTTCTTCTAGAGTATCAGAGCTTCAGGGCTGGTGCTGCTGGAAACCATTCTTTTTGGATCACTTCTTCTGTACTTCCCAGTAAGTCAAACTATAAATTTTTTAAATAAGATATACCCTTGCTGACATTTTAAAACACTGTATGAATGACTCTGGTGAAAATATAAATGTAAAAACTATTTATTAATTATTACTTTAATATGACTACAAAATGTGCTGTGCTCTTCAAATATTCTTAAAAACACTCAAATGTTTTACTATATTTGTAATAATTCTCCATTTTCAATTTGGTAAAAATTGCCAGTGGTTTAATTGGAAAATTTTGGGTGTTCTGGATTAAGATGAGATTTTTCTTTGAAAGACAATACCTCTCTGATCTCTGGTATGGGGAAAAAAAGGCAAGGTATGTAAAAGGAAGACACTGATTATACCAAATATTTATCTGGAATGTAGTATAAATGAGATTAATTATTTCAGTGCATTACTGGCATGTATTTTGATGTCTCTGAAGGTATGTGGCATCTTCAATACCATGTCTTCAGGAAAATTAGATGGCATTACCCTTACCCTGTAAGTGGGAAAAAAAGTAATTTCATAGTCACATAAGAAATAGATCACAAAACTGATAGAAATATGTGTCCATTCTCTTTTCAAAAGTCACAGAAAAGCTGAGCTTGTTAATTGCCACATAAACCCAAAGTGATGACTAGATAAAGCAAGACATCAAAGTGTATGTTGAATAAAGTTGATAGAAAGCATGCAGGTTGGGAGACAATCAAAGATGGAGTTGTGGACTATTTTAAAATATGTTTATGTTCTCTCTCCCTCAGTAGTCAGAATTGTTTGTGCTTTGACAGACCATCAGATAGTTACTGGAAGATGAGCTGGATAACAATACTCTTCAGTAGCTGCAGAACAAGTAGGAAATAAACTGCAGTAGAATGTGTGAAGAATACTATAAATAAACACAAACCCTAGTGGAATTTCTATACATTCTTTTTTTAATCATGTGGGCCTTTCAAATTCTAAAGAAAAAGTGTCTGCATTTCTAGGATAGTTTTATGTGTTTTTTCATCCTTCACTTTGCAGAAGTCAGGGAAATTAAAGTTTTTGGTTTTTTCATGTTGGACAAAAGTTTGCAACTTGCAATAAATACATCTCCCATGGGTTTTCAGAGCTTCTTTCATATTTATTTTCAGTGAACAGATCAGAAAGTCCATGCACTGCTTCCTCAGGTGGTGCTGTGGAGCATTTACAGAAATTCATAGCGTAAAGCATTATGCAAGGGCTTTCCTTTCCATGGCTGTCTCCTCTTTGCTTTCTCAAAGAACCCTGGGCTGGGTTGGCTTCCCCAGGCAGGTGCTCAGTTAGAGCCAGTCAGTGTCTGTACAGCCTCAGCTCCAAAGTGTGAGAAGCCTCATCACAGCTCATCAGAGTTGTGCCTGCAGTCTGCTCTGTCACCTGTCACCCACCCTTACAGTGCATTTCCCAGTTCTTGTCTTGGTTCTCCATTTCTTGTGCTTCATGAAGGATGAACGTCCTTTGGTGGCTGGCTTCAGGTGCTCAGCACCTGGGACACTGAGCTATTGCTGTGGAAAAAGACTTCTCTCAGCAGGTGACTTGAAGGACCATGGTGTTGGATGCAAGACCTGGTGACCATCCACAACCTTTGAATGCAGAGGGAGAAGAAAGGAAGTGGTCCTGGGAGGGAGCAGTTCAATAACCCAAGTGTCCCCTCAGCTCTTCACTAACTTTTAAGCCCCTTTTTCTTTTTCACTGACATTAAGGATGTTAAATGTACAGCGAGTTCAAAATGACAGTTTGACATATTATGAGGAAAAATATTTTGCTGGAAATTCCTGAGTAGCCCATGTCCCAGATGGGATGTAGATACTGGACCAGAACTTATCTTTCTCTGCAAATCTCAAGCTCCTACTATATAAAACTGTCTGCTGAGAACACATTCTATTAGAAATGAATAGGCACAGTGTAAGACTTGGCTTCTCTCTTCTAGCAGTTTTATGTTCCCACGCTCTTTGCTGGGTCACTCTTCTTTCTTACACAGGGAATTACTAATCAGGCTGTAACTCCTACAGACTCAGGAAAAAGAAAGAGAGTAATTTTATCATTTCTATTTTGAGGGTTTTAGGGAAGGGATGTAGCAAATGTGATAGTGGGACGTCCTTTGCATTTTCAGACAGAGAAATTAATCCCGATTAATCACGAACCAGAAAAATAAGGTTTTGTAAAATCAAAGAAGGTAGAAAGATCAGCTTTCCAAAATCTCTGTCCCTCAATTCACTGCAAGGAAGTTTTCATCATTTTCTGATTCAGGGCAAGACAGTGAAACAGTAAATGTGTGAAAGGCATAGTCTTTTTAAGAAAGAAAAGCTGCAAGGTGTGAATTATGAAGGGTGGGTCCTTTGGAATGTGAACTTTTGATGTTTTGCTGTACATGGACAGAATCTAAATGCACTTACCTACTTATTGTCTGGGAAAGGAGCACAAAGCAGAGCAGAATGACACAAGAAAGAAAACCCAAGCTTTGAAAGAGTCTTGTTTTCACCAGCAGTCATTCACACACATATTCTTTCATAGCAGGGTGTAGAGCAAATATTTCATTATACATGTTGCTCATAAGTCATGTACCTGCAAAGCAGATTTTATTTTTCATGGGTCATATTTATTTACCCCTTCATGTTATTTGGTGTTTTTATTTGCTTCCAAGAAGAATTGGGAAGATTTTGTGACCTATAGGTGTGGTGAAAGACGTAGTAATATGTGTCCAGAGGTCATTGTTTCAGCTATTTGATTTGATCCTCATTTTATGCTAGAGGAGTACATTAGAGCTCTAAGACTAGCTAATATAGATCTCACATCTTATACACCCAAATTAGGCTGTGTTTTCCACAGATAGTATGAAATGGGAGTTAGTGTATGGAATGCAGTTCACAAGCACCACTGCAGTAGGGTGTTGTCTTTTAGCATAAGGCTGTTTTCCTTTGGTGTCATCTCTTCTATTGTAATTTGGAATGTAAAACTAAAAAGCTTTACTTTCACAATCAACCAAGAGTGGAATTACACAGCTTGGCTTAGTGCATGTAACAATGTAAAGATACTTAGGGATGGCATTTCAGTTCTAAATAACTGAAATCTTTATTCATTTGAAGATTCAGTGCAAAATTACACTCTTGTTTAAAAAACAAAATCCCCTTAGATTTTCTCAACACTGCTTTAAGTCTTTGGCATCTTTGTTCTCTGCTCTTCTACACTTCCCTAATTCTTTCTTTTTCTAGATCTGTTTACTCAGTCTGGCTCGGATTGTTTTGAGAGCCTTCAGCATACAAATTTCACTGTGTCTAGAAGGGGTTTATTCCATCTCTGACTTTCCCTACCCTCCAATTAAATAAAAACCAAAACCTACTTTATTACATTGCTGAATTTCTTTCACTAATTGATGTTGTTTTCATGCCTACATGCAGTAATCTATTCATAGTGTAACATCATTAATTGAAAAATAATATCACCAGTCAGCTGCTTTTGGTGAGAAAAACAGCTGTTACAATGCCCTTCTAACCAAATGGGAAGTGCAAATGATGGTCTCCACCTAAATTTATTATTCAAGTTCTGCTATACTCATAACAATACTGATCTTTCCTGAATTATAAGCAGGCAGATGAGCTTTGTCTATTACAAATGCATAGATTTTACTCAGAACTTCCTGGGCAGATCACATTTCTGAAGCTCTCATTTCATATATTTTCTGTAATCTCATAGTAACATCTCTAATTTGCCTTTACTTAGTCTTTCCAATTATCAATGGATCTCCTCCAAATGAACACTAGACTTTCTAATTGATTTTGTTTATATTTCTTTATTCTTAGATTTTGAACAGAAAGCCAAAACCCAACTGTCGTATGGATGAGTCCCTTAATTTCTGTACTTGGCATCTGAGGGGAGTAATCTCATTACTTTTCTTGTCCAGAAGCACTGTTTTGAAACCTTCAGACCTTTCTTAACTCCCTGTCTTGCTAATGCTTGGAACATGCTACCACAAGTTTAAAAATTCTTTGCTTTCTACAAAGACCTTCAAATAAAGCGAGCAGTAGCAAAATGTTGTAAGAGAGTAGCCTGTTGATTGCATTATAGCGGTCAGATCTCAGGTGATTTTAGACATCTGTGGTGGACACAAGTTGAAAAATAGGAGATTCTGATAAGATATTGAGAAACTTTTTTTTAACTGTAAAGAGTGTCAATTACCAAAACTCATTGTCCAGAGTTTATGAAATTTGGAGGTGTCAGGACTTGACTGGGCCCAGGTCAGAGCAACGTGACCTAGTTTTGGACTAGATGACCTGCAAAGCTAACTTGCAAATGAAATTCTGTGAGTCTATGTTTCTTATGTGTGCATCCATAGCTGAGACAGTCACCCTATGCTCACCAAATTCTGAAGAGGAACTGGGTCCTTTATGACTTGTTTTAGACTTGGGACTTGAAGATAAGGTGTGTTGTGGCCAGCACTTACAGGGACTATAAAGGAAGTCTGAGGTACTTGCCTCAAATGGTGTTGAATTCTGCCCCAGGCAGCTAGGATTATCTGATATATTAAATAGTTCCCATACTGCTAGTCTGCATTGACTGAAACTCCAAAATACATACAATGGATTGCATGATATAATGATATGATAGAATTTCTACAATCAGTGATTAAAGTTAAGTATGATGATACAAATACCAAGGGAATAATTTCTTCTCCATGTTCCTGATAAGAAGTACCAGATTTAAATTCTAGCAAGTGAAAGTTGTTAGACAGCGAGGCTGAATCTTGTAACAGTAATGCCAGCTAAATCATAAGATGGACTAGCTTTAGAGGCTGCAGAGTATCTTTTTAAAAACTTACCATTTTTTCTTTCACTCTTCCCTTCCTTTCGCTAAAAAAAAGGCCAAATTCATTACAGCTTTCCCCTGTTTTTCCAAGCTGCAAATTATAAAAAGGCAATATTGTTACCAGTTTAGAGAAAAGGAGCTGTGGGTTGGGGGGCATTGACTTCCTAATGCTCATGAAGTAGTTAAGTAGTAAA